TCATAACGCCATAATCTCACACCTAGCCAACCTGTTACATCTCGTCAAAATAGCTAGTGTTATGTGTTGATCTCCCACTAAAGGGGGCTCTCTTCGTGTTCTGGTCTGTACAATTTTGAACTTTTTGAAGGCCACCCGACTGCCTTGCTGTTGGGTTGCTTCTTCCCTACCCGTTTCGCCTGTGCCACGTCCTCCTTCTTGATTTCCGCAAAATATTTTTCTCTTATTGATTCCAGTGACACCTAGGACAGCATAGTGATCGGCATCACATTGCTATCCTGCTAACCTATTCTCAATCTTCTGAACTGCGGGAACCGTCATACTGGGCTTCATTGCCACCTCCCACTTCCTCCCTGCCACTGCAAAAATTGCTGCCATCATCCTTCACTAACCTCCAGCTTCCATTCCTTCCGGGAGAAAAATCCTCCTCACCATTTTCCCTTTCTCCTCTGTGAAAACTAAGAATCTCCCTCTCCTATTTCCCCCTAATGCAACCCACAAATCATATGACAGACCCTTCTTGCTCTGGCCCCTTATCTTCTTTCCTTTGGTCCAATAAAAGTTATGCAATGGATCACACAACCACTCCACTTCGTCTTCCCAGAACAAGATTGATACTCTGGACCCCTCCCATTCTTGCTCAATCTTAAGCCTTCAGACTTCTGTCTCTTGCCAATGATGTTGCTTGATTGGATAAAACCACTTTAGTAATCATTCATTGGCGAAAGGATCTCATTTTCCTGGGAAGATTACGGCGATGAGAGTGAGATCTTTTCTGCCATGTTACCAGTTGATATTGATCATATGACCTTGATGTGACAAATCATGGAAGGAGAAATTATATGTTTAAGCAGTGGTTAAAAAACAATTCTTAGGCCTTCTAGACCCGGTGATAACTGATAAGGAGTCCAATTCCATTTGCATTGATAAAACCTCCTATCTTGAGGTCATTGTGCTTGGAAAAGAGTAGGTCTTCAAGAGTAGATTTTAGTACTTGAGAATTCAATAAACGGCAGTTCGGCATGATTCTTGGGGCTTATGCCTGTACTGGCTCACTATACTTAAAGGCTAGGCTAATATTAGGTCTAGTATGTGCTCAGTAGATTAATCTTCCAACTAGTTCTGATACCTATCAACTTCAACTTTTACCAAACCTCACCTTGCAGCTTGTGGTTGGTTTCAATGGGGGAGGCATTCAGTTTACAACCTAACAATACATTCTTGGCCACGAGATAAAGACTCCACTTTGATCTCAAATTCTCAGGCTAGAAACTCTTTTAGCTTCTCTATTTTATCTGTATCATCTTCTGCAGATACCATCTCATGGACATATACAATGGGTATAGTAAACTTACCCTTACAATGTTTACAGAATAGGGTGTGAACAGCATTTCTCTGGTGATACCATAAACTAGAAAGATGAGAGGGAGGAGATATGGTGGGAATGCATTCATCAAATCACAAAAATATTTGTTTACTTTAACTATCGAGGCTTGCCGTATTTCGATCAGAAAGGACACAACAAAATGGTCCAATAGCAACAAGCCACAATCCCAAGTCGGGTCTTTAGAAGTCTCTGTATCTATATTTCCCTCACCCTCAAGGAATTGTGGGTTCTATTTTCAGAAGCCAGTTATTTTTAAGTGCTTGCATATGCCATATTTCTTCCTAATAGACTATTCCTGCTTGTGGACAGGCAATCTTCTACGATCTGGTGATATCAGGGGATACCAGTCCATGGCAAGAATGTACACCAGACTTGCTGCCATGCCCAAGAAAGGATAAAGACTGCCAATTGTATGAAGTGATGTGTTTTAAATTTCACAGCATTGTATTATTTGTGTGCTTTACACGCTGTGATAAAACTAAACAGATTTCACTACTTCTAATAAAAGTTGTAATTGGTTGCTGCCTTTTAATGTTTAATGTGATCTTATACTTGGCTGATTTTGAAGATAAAATATCCATGGTATGCCTCACCACCTTATTAAAAGTAGAACAAGCTAACGCTTTGGTTTAAATTTATGATATTTCTTTTTTAATTTATAATCTTAATTGTTTAATATACAAATAGTTCCAAAATAAACTTAATATTTTTTCAAAAATTTTATTCTACATTTTTTTCTTATTAATTGTGGCATAACTACCTGCAATCCACTTTACATCTGAAAAAAAACAAAACAAAACTGCAATCCACTAGTTAGCATGAAAATTCTCCCCCAAGAAAATTTCTAAACACTTAACGCTGAGACTTGGCCCGAAGCTGCAGAAACAAGCCAGGCTGGTCATGGATATTTTATGGTATATCAGGTTACATGATCCGTGGCAATGTGAATTGCTCAACTTGCTTCCTTCGCCATTTCTGGACAGTAAGACTTCTTGAGTGGCCATGGTTCTCCTGCCATCACGGCCTCGATCTCCCATGTTTCCCGAGGAACATTAGTCATGTTCTTGCTTCCATTGGCGGTAACAAGCTACATTCATCAATGAAACATAAAGGAGTTATTTGTACCTCCGAAACAAATACAAAACGCATTTCAATAGTGTGGAAAAGAAACATCAACAAGCAACGTTGGTAACGGAACACTATAACCATCATGCACTTGAGACTTAAATCCTCATAATATTTAGCCTAGAGCAAACACTGTTTATGCTTATTAAGTTTCTCACACCAGCCTGAGAAGATAATTTGAAATTTGTGACATAAGTGCTCCCTCCTGTAGCCATATCTGTGCCAGGACATATCATATGATCCATAATTATATTGTTTAACCAAGCACAAGCTTGAAAGGATTTACCGACTTCAAATTTGTATACAGACAATGATGCATAACCATGTGGCTTCTTTGATGATTTGATCGGCAACATACCATGCACATACGAAAGCCAAGAAAAAGAACAAAGTTTTTAGATGTGAGATTCAGCAGGTACCACATCGCTTTCAATGCGAACTCCACCAAATTTTTTGAATCTACCAATAACTTCATGATTGAAAAACTTGGAAGTGTTTTCATTTTTCATGGCTGGAACCAATAAAGCATCAATGAAATAGCATCCTGGCTCCACTGTTATCACCTACAAAAGTGCAAGCATACTAAGTTTGCCTCGCAATGCCATCATATTAAGTACTGAAGATAAAGTAAAATAAGCAATTGGCACAAATAGTACTAAAAGAATAGTGCAATATGACTCTAAATCCAACTTCATAGAGCTCCTCAAGTGCAAAGAAGATGTACTCATTGAAATCACAGAAAAATATATATTTTTCAAAACAAACACACATTAAGATCAATGCACATATCCTGCTCACAACCCATCATTATGTTCGTTTACAAATTCAAAAGCAATTCCCAAATTCAAAAGATGCAGCATGATACATACAGCCAAGTAAGTGTTAAAATAATTTGAAAAAAAAATCATTTTCAGAATTAGAGGACAAGGTACTACTGAAGTATGTTGCACTGAAAATACCTCTCTTTTTTTTGGAAAAAGATTAAAATGAGTATAAACGAAGCACCAAGAAGGTACCAACCATATACAAAACAATTACAAATCAATCAACATATCAATTATGTCCCTAAAATTCTTATCATATATAAGAGGATTACTATATATATAGAAAACTAGGGGGGTGACGCCATAAATTCCTCACTCTACTGAAAAGGACAAGTCAAGCCCTTACAACTTCTTGTGTTCCTTTCCTTTCAATAGATCCACATCGTAGCAAGAGGGGATAATGGAGATCTTTTTTTCCCCCCTTATCATCCTGGATGCCAGGTCATGCCCATTTCTCATTTGCCAGGGAACCTGTCATAACCCAGCTCAAGCCAAGAAACTAGAGAGCCATGTACCATAGGTGGAATGGGAAAGGACACCTTAAAATAAAATGATTCAGTGTCTTAGCCGCCATCATGCATTAAAAACACCCAATGACAACAATCTTCCCCCTTTTTTGAAAATTATTAATGGTAAGAATTTGATCTCTCACTACCTCTGTCGCAGAAAATACAGCTTTAGGAGAAGCATTAAGCTTCTAGAGGAGCTTATAAGGAACATCAATGGGTAGGACACTGAGTGAGATATAATAGAAGATTTCAGTATGAAAGATCCATTGGTTTCTGGTTTCCACACCAGTTTATCATTCCCCTCAATTAAGAAATGGAGGCGGGTAAGGTGTGCGAAGAAGTCTCACATAATCATCAATCTCCTAATCTTTCAGGTGTCTCGTAAGAGCCACTGTCCATACCACGTGGCTAGAAGAGGAAGAGAAAAATCACTAACCCATTATCTTTCCTTCTAGCTAAAGAGGACATATTGGAAAACTACTGATGTAAAGCTCTTCCTTGACATCAATCAGCTTGCCAAAAACTAACCCTATGCCCATAACCAACCCCCATCTTAGTATACTCATAAAACTTATCCCAACCGGAGTTGTTCTTAAAAAACTCTAGCCTTTAGAGGCTCTAGATTGCCTCGCCATCCAACCTTATCAACAGTACCAAACTTGGTTGTTAACACATGCCACCACTAGCAACCACCCTCAATATTCATGAATTTCTAATGCCACTTCTTGAGTAAAGCTTTATTAAATCAAGGGAGGGATTAATGTCAAGGCCCTCCCTTAAGGACAGGGAGTTTAATCATATCATTAGCCACTAAGTGGAACTTCCTCTGCGCCCAAAAATCACCCGACAAAAATTAAAATTGGAGTGCTTCCAGCCTCTTTGCAATAACAAAAGGAATTGAAAACAAAGACAAGTGTATGTTGGCAGATTATAAAGGATGCATTTGATGAGGTTGAGTCTATGTCATTTAACAAGAAACTACATTCCTAACTAGTTAGACTTCTCTTGTACTAGGATGCTACATGTTTTATAAGCCTTGGCATTGTGCCATTTGATGAATTAACAAAGGAGGAACAACAATTAATTTCTTAGATTTAATATACTGCTATGCTTATGTCAGGCTCCTTAGACATGTACTCAATCAAGGAGTCTGGGAGAGAGTTGTCAGGGTTTTTGGTAGAAGGAAAGAGGAAGAAGGAGAAGAGAAAAGAGAGAGAAGAAGAGAAAAGGGAGTAGAGACAGAGAGAAAAAACTTGAAAGGTTTGATGATTCCATTTAGGGTTTTTGCATATCTTCATCATGATTATATTTCTTCATTTTCTACTGATTTCGTCACAAAACAATACAAAAGACAATAACAGAAAAGCAATAACCAAAAAGCAGAAAAAGAAATCTGCTAGAGGCAGTCCAATAACAAGGAAGCTTTTTAACTAGTCTAAGATTAAACTAATTAACCATTAATCAAAATTAATTGTGGCTGGATACTACTGGGTTGCTGGTCCTTACAATCTCTTTCCCTTCAAAATCTTCCTTGTCTCAGAGGATACATATTAGCCTCAAAATAAAGAACAAGTGAATATATGTTGAGCAATCAATACAAGAGATGTTGAGCAAACTACCACCACTCTTATCTGTCCACTTCATTATACTCCACTTAACAAGTTTGAGAAATAATACTTCATATATACATATACCCAAACATCTTTTAAAAGAGTTCCATCATTGTTATCAACTCTGGAACTTAATTGACTTTTAGAAAGGTAATCACCATCTGCAAAATAGAGTCCACATTCTAATTGCATTTCAAACAAGCTCGGTGTCGACAGTTTCATAAAATGCTTTAATGATGACATCCCTTGATTTTCTTGCTGCTGATAGATAGCTTTAGATGATACTGGAAAATATTTAAAAAACATTTGATGACATCTTCAAACGCGCTCTCTTCCCAGCCAGCTTTATATGCTTGGACCTTTTATAATTT